GAGTGGTGCATGTCTTTAATCCCGGCACCTGGGAGGCAGAGACAGGTGGATCTCTGTGAGATTGAGACCAGTTTGGTCTACATAGCGAGTTCTAGGCCAGCTGGGGCTATAGGGAGACCTGGTCTCAAAACACCAAAATAATAAATAAATAAAAATTTTTAATGAAAAGGAATTGGAAATTAATAGCATGCTCTGTATGTAGCAGACAACAGCAGGGGATAAAACTTGGTGCTTCCCCACTTTAAACTTTAAGACGAATTTCAGACATCCCTAAAAAGGAAGAGGACAATCTGCTATGTGAAGCCTGGACCTCCAGCAGAGCTCGTTAGCCTCCTTAAGGAGTTTCCTCCGCACTATCTATGAGTCAAATCTTAGATTTAAATGGCAAAACTGGATCATTGATAACTAGGCCTGGAACTACCCAGGTTAACAGCATGAAATGAACGTTCCTTGCAATACAATGCTGTACTGACACAACGAAGCCCTGCATGGAGGGGATGGGAAACATCAATGCACAGACAATGAAATAAATATACAGATCCCAGAAGAGACTCTCTCTCTCTCTCTCTCTCTCTCTCACACACACACACATACACGCACACACACACACACACACACACACACACACACACACACAAACACACAGAGGCACAAACGCGTGCAAAGCACAGCAAAAAAAACAGCACAGAGTCCTACAGTTGCAACTTAAAGGGAAATTTGGTTTGTGAAGCACATCCCACTTCACCCCACAAATAAGGAAACCAGGCCCGGGGGAAGTTGTTTCAGATGACCAGACTGAAGCAGAGGCCCAAAGCCTCACCCTGTCCTCACCAGGCCAGAAAGTCATTCCCACTGTTAGGAGACTCATCAAAGAGCCCCCAAGTCCTGGGCAATTCTTTGCTATTCAGGGCTGAATGCTAAACAAACTAACATTGACATAGGTCCCTAGAAAAGCATGAACTCTGAAAAGCACACATGGGCCCAGGCACTTGGACAGAGCCACTACAGTGTGACTGCACAGGCAAGGCGATTTTCAAGTCCCTTTCACCTACATCCATCCCCAAGAACCACAGCTCAGGAGAGAAGGTCAGAGCTTCCCATCAGATCAATTGGCGTGAGCCCAATTCAGGAGTCTCAGGCAGGAAACAGGACAAACTGCAATATTCCAAATAAAAGGAAATTTCCTACAAACCTAGGCGCCATTCCCAGGAAGGCTCAGGCTTGCTGAGAGATTGAAGATGGGGTGTGTGTTATATCCATCAGAGTGGCCTTGTCATTCTCAAAGGTCCTCAGTTATATGGAAGTTTACCTTCCCAACAAGCCACAGGTAAATAGCAGCCAGGGATGGGACTGAGGAAACGCTGGGAAAACAGTCTGCTAAGAAACAGCCTTCTGGCTGTGGGACACACACTCTGCACATTCCAGACCTCAGGCTGTGGGACACAATCTGCACACTCCAGACCTCAGGCTGTGGGACACACTCTGCACACTCCAGACCTCAGGCTGTGGGTCACACAATCTGCACACTCCAGACCTCAGGCTGTGGGTCACGCACTCTGCTCAGCCCAGACCTCAGGTTGTGGGCACATGTTCTACACAGCCCAGACCTTAGACCTTTCAACTGACCTTGAAGATTTTGTTGCTGAATTGGTTTCTGGTCTTTTCTCTTTTTGCTTAAAACCTTTCTGATATGCCATGATTGCTAAGAATATTGTGTGGAAAAACAAATGCTAGATCAAGGAAAATCACAAGAAAAGATTAAACCAGTAAGTTAGGTTGTAAGACTTTTGAATACTAAATAGAAAAGGAGGTCAATCAAGTTGCCTTGATTCCTAGGGTGACAATGTTGAGGTGATTCCCTAAACCACACAACTTTAGACCTCCTGTGACAGTTACCATACCTAAGCTAACAAAAGACATTAAACAAACTCAGACTTTTAGACTCAGATTAAAGACAGCACAAATCTAAATGTTTTCACTTCCAAAGAGCATGATAAAAATGTGTAAGTTCTAGGGCTGGAGAGCTGCTCTTGCAGAGGACCTGGGTTCAGTTTCCAGCATCCACATGGTGGCTAACACCCATCCCTAACTCCAGGGGATCCAACGCACTCTTCTGGGCTCTGTGTGCACTGCATGCATGTGGTGCAGATACTCATACACATAAAAATAAATCTTCAAGAAAAAAATTTAAGAAATCTGTATGTTCCAGAACAAATTCATTTGTTTCAATGTATTCTCTAAAGTGCCATTCCAACAAAGATACATTAAAAAACACAAGAGTGTTGGTGGTAAAAATTATTAAGCTATATGATCAAGATACATTGTATCTTGAAATTGTCAGAGTAAGGGGCTGGAGAGATGGCTCAGAGGTTAAGAACACTGGCTATTCTTGTAGAAGACCCAGGTTTGAATCCCAGTACCCACATGGCAGCTAACAACAATCTGTAACTCCAGTCCCAGGGGATCCGATGCCCTCTTCTGTCCCCCATGGGCACCGCACTTACACATATGCAGGCAATACACGCATACACATAAAATAAAAATAATAAATAAAAAAATTGTCAGAATTGTAAATGAAAGAATTGTAAATGAAAATATCCTAAAAATAAACAAAACCAAAAAAAATCATTAAACTGCATGTTTCTAGGTAGTATTGGATTTTCAAATTACTTTGAAATAGCCTTGAAATTGGTAATTTAAAAATAACCACAAGAATGTTCTAGCACTTTAGTAGTCAAATAAACTTAACACAATCTGTCACTAAAGAAAAACTACAACTTATATTAGCAATATCTTCTCTACCAACTGCACAAAGTTGAAAATAAAAATCAAAATGAGACAGACTATGACAGTGCCTGACAAGTATTTAAATTAAAACATACTATAAGCCCACCAAGTGCTTTCTTTTTCTAAAGAAAGTTAAATATAAGCAATGAATGCTGTCATTTGGAACAGTAAGTGTAGGAGACTAGCTTCTTTAATGATGGGACGCTGGGTAGGTGGCAGGGGCTCCAGGGAGTGGACTCACACATAGTGCATTTGGGCAACACAAATTAGATCCAATAGGCCTTAAAAAAAAAAAAAATAGAAGTCATGAAGGGGGGTGGAGGGAGGTGGGGCAGATCTGAAGAGCAGATGGATAAAGGGGTCTGAATACATCAAAATAGAATGTATGAAATTCTCAAAGAAACAATAAAATATTATTTTGAAAAAGACTAGAATCCTAAACTTGATTTTGAATCCTAGTTCAACCATTAAGTATTAGTAACCTTGAAATATAAGTTGCTAATGCTCACTGGGATCCTATTCTACTTGGAAGGTGACAGAATTGGACCACAGGGGACCATTCCCAGCCAGTGGGCAGACTTGTGTGCAAACCTGTGAAGCATCTACAACACTACACACTTCTTCACTCGTGTCCCAGAGACTAAATGACACAAAGACAGGTTATAGCCCCTATCTGTCAGATTAGTGAGCTCATGCCAAGCCTTAAGTCACCCCCCAAGGACTCAGAGCTAAGGAGGAAAGAGCTGGAAACAGCAGGTCCCTGGACTTGGAGCCCAGTGCTCTTCCCAGTCAGCTAAAATGGAAATAGAGCACAGTCAGGCTCTAATGCCCAGCATGGCTGAAAGGCAGCAGCCATTCAGTGAGGCACTGCTGTCTCTGGGAGGGGCCCAGCAAGGAACAAAGGGAAAACAGCCTGGCCTCACCGGGTTTCCACTGTGGCTGGAAAGATGCACGAAGATGAGGAAAATACAGGGTACATTATACTGGTTAAGTGCTGTGGGCAAAGAGTAGAGACAGCAAGAGTTTCAGGATCTGCAGCTGACTTCTTTCAAAGCCAACTAGGTGCCATTTAAGGAACTGCAACAATAATGCATCCATAGTAGTTTTCCTAAGCATTTCCCAAATGGACTAGACACCGGAAAGGCGACGGTCTGCAGATCCAGTTTGATTGATTTCCCCAACCTCTGAACCGCCAGCTATGAGCTACCTGTCATACTAGTGATCTAAGTTCCAGGTTTATATAGACACAGTACAAATGTTACAAGACAGTCCAGGAGAAGCCAGAAGTTTCAAGGGCACTTGGACTGCTTCTGAGTGAGCAAAGCATCTCCAAAAACAAAGATTAAGACCCGGAGATCTGCTAGGGCAGCGCACCAAGAATACCATGGGCATCACCGTGTCTTTCCTGACCTGTCAATTCTAGTGTCGCTGTCTACCATTAGTCTATATTTAACAAGCTTACTGGGCACTTTCCGCAGCTTGTAGCTTTTTTCTGTTTCCCCTCTGTGATATTAAAGGAACAACCCAGTTCGCAGGTGGGAAGAAGTTAGAAGACAGCAGCCTCCTTGCAAAATCGGATGCACGGTCTAAACCTCCCCATTAACTTGGTTAGCTAGCTGGGCTCAGCCTCCTGTCACTCAAGCTTTACAACGCCCTCTTGGTTACAATCTCTGGGTCCTGGCCGCAACTGTATCTGAGGTCTCTTGACATTCTCAACTGTTTAACGAGTGGCTTTCGACCCCAAGAACTTGGGCCTGGGAGCCGAGGGTCGGGTTCCGGGTCCCACGGAGGAGACCCGGCCGGGCTTTCCTCCCGCCCACACCCGGGGAGATGTTTGTCTGGCTTCTCCGCGGGGAGCGGCGCCGGGCCCGGTTCACTGCGCGGCCGCTCGGAGGCGAGCGGCGGGCAAACTTGAGCTGGGCTCGGCGGGCCGGGCGGGGCCTGTCCGGGCGAAGGGGCGGCTCTTCCCGGGCGGCCCCGCCCTGCTCGCGGGTGCGGGTTCCGAGTGGCCCCGAGGGTGTCGGGGGGCGTCTGCAGGCCTCCCGGGCTCAGGTCGCAGAGGAGAGCGGCGGATGGAGCTTGGGGAGAGTCAGGAGCGCGGAGGCAGGCGGCGCAGGGGGACCCGGGATGCGGGCGGGCAGCCGGGGATGCCGGCGAGGGGCGGCCGCGGGGGCCCAGTCGGCCCCGCCCCCGGGGCACGGAGCCCGGCTCACCTGATGTACGGGCTGGCGGCAGCCAGGATGTTCTTCTGCACCGGGATCTCCTCGCCGTCCAGGACCAGGTGCGCGTCGCAGAAGCGGGACTCCTCCCGGAACGAGCTGAGCGCCCGCAGCAGGCGCGCGGCGTGCTGAGGATCGGACACGGCGCTGCCCTCGGCCATCGCACCGCCCGCTCCTCCACGGCCGCCCGGCACCACCCGCCGCAGCCGGACCCGCTCGGAGCAGCCTCGAGACGCCCGCGTCCGGCCCGCACCCCCGTCGTCCACTCCGTCGCGCCCGCGCGCCCCGGCTCGGAGGAGCTCCGAGTCTAAGCCTCGAATCCCACCAACGCGCCTGCGCCATCCGCGGCGCGAGGGGCCGGCGCCTTTAAGGAGCCGTTGCGGTGCGTCATCTTTACGCGACGTGCCCCGCCCTTCACCGCCCAGCCAATCAGAAGCCGCCTTTCTCCACCCGCCGCGGGGCTGAGCTTCCGAGAGGCGCCACGGACCGGGATCGCTGCGCGGTGGGACGACGGGCTCAGCCGTTCTGCCGAAGCGGAGCCGGATCTCGGGTAGAGGTGCAAGATGGAGCCGAGGACTTCGTCCTGTGGCGCGTTGTGAGCCGGCTCACGGGATCGAGGACTCGGTAGGTGCAGCATGAAGCACGCCCGAGAGGAAAGGCGCACCCGGGCAGCGCGCGGACTCTGCAAAAAGCATCCGCTGCACAGATCGCTAGGTCGGAGGCCTGGGGAGGGAAGGCTGCAGATGAAGGTCTCGGTGGCTGTGTCAAGGAAGTCGGTTTCCTCCTGCAGGCCTGGGGTTGAGGATCAGGAACCATGGAAGGGTTTTAAGTGGGTTTGGGGGCCGGGTGTCGTAAATAAACATTGCTATGATGCCGCGCGGAGAGTGAGGTGGGGGTGCTAAAGGCGGATAGATGCTAAGATGTGCTGGAGAGGAAACGAATGGCCGCCTGGATGCGAGGGTGATGGATTGCTTTAAAAGACTAGACTTGGGGACTGGAGAGATGGCTCAGTGGTTAAGACCACTGGCTGCTCTTGCACAGGACTTGGGTTCGAATCCCAGCACCCACATGGTGTCCAGTTCCAGTGATCCAACGCCCTCTTCTGGCTTCCGTGGGTATTGCAGGACATAGGTGCACTTACAATACATGCAGGCAATAAACTCATACAAATAAAATTTTTAAAAGATTGGAATTGGGCAGTAGAGATGACTCAGTGGGTAAAGCTTGCTGCCAAACCTGACATCTGGAGTTCAATCCCCCAGACCCACGTGGTGGAAAGCAAGGACCGACTGGCAAGTTGACCTCTGACTTCTACCCAGGCACTGTGGAAGGTGTACACAGACACACGGAATTGTATGGGAGAGGAGGTCCAGGTCAGTCTTTGCAGATAATTAACTGCATGGATGCCAGTGCCTTTCTTTCAAGAAGGAAAAGAAACCTTGAAAGGCTGGGAGGTTTAAAGGCCAAATATTAACATGAGGCCAGGCTCCCCCATACAGGCAGATCAAGGCATTCACAGTAAGCAACACTGGATGACCTCAGCCTTCAGAGCAAGCCTCATATGGTCTCAAGTTTCCTTGAAGCTAATGAAAGGGCCTGGTGGGGGGTAGCAGTCATTTTGTGCAAACATTAGGTAGTCAAGCCTCCAGAAAATTAGCAGTTTTTGTCGAGTTTTGTTTTTGAAACGGGATCTCACTATGTAGCTCTGACTGACCAGAACTCACTATAGAGACCACACTGGCCTCCAACTCAAGGAGATCCATCAGCTTCTGCTCTCAAGTGCTGGGATTAAAGGCATGCACCACTATACGAGGCAAATTTAGTGGATTTATGAGGACCAAGGATCAGAACACTTGGGCAGCCTTCCAGGCCAGGCAGGCTGGAGTTTTCACTAAGCCAGCATACAGCCCCAGAAATGTCTTGGGTCTTCACTCCAGAAGCAGCTAAGGGTTTGGAGTCAGAGGAGTCTGGCAGGAATCAGAGTACCAACTGTACTCAGGGCAGAAACGGAGCAAGGAAGTTCCTAGTGGAAAATCCACAGCTTTCCAGGTCCCTTTTCAAACACAGTTCAGTATTTATGACTAGAGTGATAAAAATGTCTTAGAATCTGTATCAAAACAAAAGGCTGGGGAAAGCAGGTGGGAGGTGTGGCAAGTCAGAAGTGGCTATGAGTTATTAATTGGTAAAGCCAGTAATGGGGCGTGGACGCCTGTTATGTAACACTATCCTCTGTATTTGTGTCTGTTGAGAAAATGTCATAATAAAAAAGGGAGAAAAAAGTAATGGAAGCCTGTATTCTCTGTAACACCTGCCAGAGGAACACCTCTTATCCAAGCACTTACTATGCTTTGAACATTGCTGGGCAAGACACTGTGAGGAACTTTTTGTCCATGTGACTGGCTAAGCTCTGCTTATAGTGTAGTATGGCTCAATTTCCAGGTGCCACGCAGGGTACTTGGCCTATTGTAGTGCTCCCTGAGAGTTGGATTTTTTTTTAAAATGTGAATACCAAGCTTTTAATAAAAAAAATTGTATTTTCTGTTCTTAATGTGTGTGCGCTCTCATTTGGACTGTTGTCAGAGTGGTGTATATAGGCTGCAGAGATGGCTCAGTTGCTGTGTAAGCATGAGGCCACCCATAGCAGTGATCACCTGTAATCCCAGTGGGGTAGGGAGGGTGGGCAGGAGCATCCCAGCCAATGTAGCCAGAATTGGTGAGTTCCAAGTTCAGTGAGAGAGCCTATTTCAAAAATAAGATGGAGAATCTTTGAGAAAAGACACTCGAGGTTGGGCCTCTGGCCTCCGTGTACACGGATGCGCTTGTATAAAAATATGTATACACACATACATGACCAGGAGAGCTCTCTACACAATGTATGTATTTGATAAGAACACATTCATTGCTTGGAATGCTGATCTACTCTTCAAATGTCAGAAGTTATGAAAAAAACAAATAGCTCCAGAAACACCCACAGTCAGTTATCTGAGGACAGGAGAGTTGTCTCCACTGAAGCCATTGGAAGGGAGCGAGGCTCTCCTTGGTAGATGTGAACCTCCATATTTTGGTGGAAGGAAGGGGTAGGGTGGCTTGGCCAGAGGCTCATAACAGTCATTGCCAATTGAGAGGAAGGTGACGGTGGTGGGCTGGATAGGTGCACCTGCACAGCAGGACAGTAACACCACCCCCACTGTTTCCAGTCTTCCCTGCCACTCCATCTTCCTGGTGAACCTAAAGTCATGCTTTGAAACTAGGCTCAAACGACCTTGACCTTCAGTAACCCTTCCACAAACTTCCCAGGACAGAGCTGGGGTGACACAACTTCCCAGCACTCCCCAGGCATTTGCATTTGCTGTACTTTATTTATTGTGCTGCGGATCCGATTCAGGGTTTTGTGAATGCTAGGCAAGTGCTGTAGCAATAAAATCTCCATCCGGCCATGGCGCACTTCACTCTGTACCCTGCTGGGCTAAGCTCTAGCAGTGCTGTAACCACCTGTGTCCCCTGAGACTTGCACAGTGCCTGGTGCCCTGTAAGTGAACCCACCTCATGCTTTGATGATCAAGTAAGAAAGTAATGGGTATTAGCATGGCAGAGCTGAAGATGGGGGACCAAAGAATACATCCCCTGACCAACCCCAGCCGATTGTTGTGTGGGGTAAGGGCCCAGTGATGCCAGATCTAGCCATTCTCCAAGTTCAGATCTATATGGCAGACATCCTGGTTAGGTAGCTCATTCTACTTGGCAGAAGGGGGAAGTTTGTGGGTCTGCAGATAGGATTTGGCTTTGATTTCTTCTCAAAGTTCATCAGAAAGCCCTCTCCTTCACTGAAAAGGGAGTTGACCATCACACAGATGCTAGGTTGCCTATACAATGTGTCCATCTGAGTTCACGTGCCCCAGAGCACTCATCCTGGTGTATAGGGAGGGAGAGGTCCTGGGAGTGGGATGGGGCTTGGGAGGTGGAGCTGACCCTCCCACTGTTGCAGGAATCACTCCTGGTTGAGCCTTGGACAACTTTGCAGCCTTTCTCAATATTGCTTAAACTGAGCCGCCCTTGATAGATTTATGATCATCGAAACGGTGTATACGATGTTATTGTTTCCCAGCATTCCATAGGTATCAGATAGCAGCTGTTGTGAAACGTGGCATCTGCCCTGCCAGTTTCAGTCTCTGGTGACAACATCAAGTCCAACAATCTCCAAAGAAAGGGCTTTAAAAAAAATTATATTTTGATCTAAAGACTAAAAAGGGTGTTTGCAAGATATTAACAGTAGTCATTGATGGTACAGACAGAAATTTATTTCTCCTAGTCTGGAGGCTAGGAAGTCAAGATCAAGGTGCTGACAGTTTCGATGTCCACTGAGGGCTGCTTCCTGGCCTGTTATTGTGACCTTATACAGCAAAATGGACAAATGTCTTTCTGGGCTTTGTTTGGATTTTTTTTGGTCTTTTTGAGACAGGGTCTCCCTATGGCCCCAGCTGTCCTGAAACTCACTATGTAGACCAGGCTGGCCTTGAACTCACAACGATAGTACAGACTTTTTAAAGCACTGCCTCCGAGGTCCATGCAGCAGGCACAGGGAAGCACACAGAGGTCTCTCAGAAGCTTTCTATGGTCTACACTTTCCTCCATTTACATTTCTTCACTGACCATGTATCACATTTACAATGAGAGAAAAGAGAGAAATTTCCATTTGAAAAAAATAAAACTTCCTTCAGATTTGAAAATTGAGCTCTTGAGCCCTTGGGAGTTTGGGTTTTTTATTTTAGAATAACTTAGCTCAAACCAATAAATACTGTAAAGCAAAGAAAGAGTTTTAAAACTACTTAGAAAACATGGTGTCAGGGCCTAGAGAGATCGCTCGGGTTAAAAGCACATGCTGCTCTTCCAGAGGACCTGAGTTCGGTTCCCAGCACCCACAGGCTCAGAGCTGCCTACAACTCCAGCTCCAGGGATCCAGCACCCTCTTCTGGCCTTTGTACACATTTGATGCACACACATAGACACAATTTTTTTTTAAAAAAAGACTAGTTTTGAAAAATGAGATCCAGCCGGGCATTATTTTGCATGCCTTTGATTCCAATGCTCGGGAGGCAAAAGCAGGAGGATCTCTGTGAGTTTGAGGCCAGCCTGGTCCATATAGGGAGTTCCAGGTCAGCTGGGGCTACAGGGAGACCTTGTCTCAAAACAACAATAAAATGAGAGAGTTCACATGAGCCAAGGGCTAGATCAAGGTCATTTGTGTGGCCCAATGGGGACAGAACAGACCGAGGTCAAATTTCTGCCTTACA